GGAAACATAGGACCAGTCAGGAAGTCCATTTCCCACAGGCTTCTTTTCTCTACCACACAGTCTTAAAATGGAAACTATTCCCAAGGCTTCTAGGACAGCAGAGCACAGATTTGCAGTGCACAAACAAACAAGTACGCACATTTGTGGTGCCCTCTGAGAACTTGAAATCTTATTCTTGTAACCCCAGGAAGCTGGCCAAGAAGAGAGAAGAGGAAAGGCATGCAGGATATTTGTCTTTGCATTTGGAAGTGCTTCTGATCACAAGAGCTGGGGCAGTGTCTGAGCTTTTGTGGGAACGAGGCATGTGCCAGTGGAGGAAGCAAGATCAAGAGCAGTTTGCTCTTTCAGGGACTTCAAAGCCCATTCATCTGAAGATGTGGCCATTACCATTTTGGCTTCCTCACTGTGCCTTGGATGGCCATGTACTTTTCAAGAGGAAAGCCTTGCTGGGTTGGGGCCAGTTAAAATGTATTCCTTGAAGTGCAATGTCCCAGAAAATATGCCCTTCCTGGCTGTGCTCTGTGCTTATAGTCCCAGCTGTGATCTTTGTTCCTATTGGATGAGTCAGATGCAGGGGTGAATGGAGCAGTGATGCTGGAGTACTGTTTTCCTAGTGTGATATTCTTCCTCATGTGGAGAATCATAAACATAAAAGCTATAGCAAGCAGGTTCTGATTCTCTGACCTCAGGAGTCTTTCTTTTTTACAGTACCAACACGAATTAGGAGGGAAAAGCCAGAAAACAACCGAATAAATAGTTATAGTTTTAGAAACCTACTTTGGCTGTTTATCCTATACAGTTCTAATCACCAGTCGGACAGGTTTAAGAAAAAGTTCTCATTTCTAAGTTAAGCCATGATACTAAGTTTTGTTCATCAGGTTCAGGTATTTTTTGAGAATAAGGCACACAGTAATTTCCCCATCTAAATCCAATAACTGAAATCAAAACAAAGCAAAGTCTAGGAAAGTGCTATAATCTGGTAGCTCCTAATAATCTGGCTGCTTTATATTGGGGATTCTGAAGACTAGACAGTGATGTGCCCTGTGTGAAACAGGGAGAGCATCTGTCTTATTTCCTAGGTCCCCAGATATTAACATAATATCTAAACACATGTCGAATGAATGAGTAAGTCAAGTCTTTGATAGCTTGTCTAGTCAATATTCATTATGTGATCTTGAATACCTCTCTCTTGTGTCAAGTGCTCATCTATCAGCTTTAACCATTTTGGCCTCCTGATCTCACACCAGGGAGTGACTATTTTGAATGATTCCTGAGATAATGCCCACTCAACCCTGGAAATGTCTCAGGGTACCAATGCCTGTGTATCAGGTAAGTGGCAGCTCTTTCATTTTCTTTTAAATTGGATATATTCTAGTTACTCTGTCACTGAGACAGTTGACTTCATGTCTGTGTACTTTACTAAGAGAAGATAACAATCTGATACCCTAAATTTTTGTCTTTGTCAAGTGAGGAGTAGACAAGCTCATCTTTCAGCAAGGCCTTTTGTAACTCTTATTTTATTCCTGTCTATTTTCTCAGAATGGTCTCATGGGGAGATTTTGAACACAGTAACACTGCATTTCATTAAAGGTTTAAGAGGACTCTGTTTCCCATTATGAACTTTCTGGTGTAGTTTAAGATTTCCTTTTACCTAAGAGGCACATAGAATTTTACTCTAATTAATTTAGAATGTCACAGGACATCAAAAAGAATTCCTATTTAATAATTTTATAGAATTATAGATGTAATGACTCCTTTAAACAGAATTTTTAATAATTAAAACATGCTTTTAAGTTTCAGTTTTTGAGAATATCTCTAGCTTTGGAACTTAATGCTCACTCTAAAAGTGTGGGTGTTCAGTGAATCGTTAGATGACAAAGGAACCCAAGGAGCATCAGCAGGATGGGAAAAAGGAACTTAGGAAGAGAACATTCCTTAGACCCATTAACTAGCATTATGTCCCTTCAGTGGGCATTTTGTTAATACATACTGTGTGTCAGAGAATATAGATGCTTAGGATCAAAGAACTTAACCTACCTGAGATACTTTATAAATGTGTTATAACAACATGGGGTCAGTGTGACGCATTTAACACTGGCCTTTCCACTTATCTAGTGAATGACCTTGAGCAAATCACTTGCCCCTTAAGTGCTATCTGTATGAAAGTTACAGATCCCCTCAAGCTCTTACGATATTTAGTTTTGGATATATCAAGGGAAACAATAACTGAGGAAGAATGCTTACATTAAAGCAAGCCATTTCAGAAATCATACAGCATACTTTTAAAAAAATCTAGTTGTAATGAATAAAGTATGTACACTAAAATATCACAAAATCATATTATCAACCTGATGATTATTTTTCTAATTCCTTGTTCATTCAGTAAACATTTATGTAGTGCCTGTTATATGGCAGAAACTGTGCCAGGTATTTAAAATGAGAGATGACTTGTTCTGTGCCTCTAAAGAATTTACAGTCTAAGTAGTCATGCTAGTGAGATTTTATGGGTACAAGTCTGACATTAATAAAAGACACATGCTCATAGCAAATACCCTGTTCCTCTGGCTATTCTATATTTTTCTATCTCCTCTTCCACAATGCTCCCTGAACCTTAGGTACCAGAGTTGTATTGTAGATGTATCCACTGGGACTGGGCTCCATATTTTTATTGGTTGCAGTTCTCTGTAATAGTATCCAACAATAATAGACACCTCTTGAAAGTGGGACCTAAGAGGCCCCAACTCTACACCAGAACTATAGCTACTAAGAAATATTGAAAGCAGGAGAAATAGTTTTTTGGGGAAAAAGCACGATTGGTTATTCAGTACTTAATGATCAGTCCTGAAAATACACACATGCACATGCATGCATGCATGTATGTATGTGTGTGCGCGTGTGTGTGTGTGTGCGCGCGCACACACACACACACACACACAATTACACAGATGGAGCTGGTTGTACTTATGTTACTAAAATATGTATATATATACCTACATATGTATATAACAACAATTAATGGAAAGGGAGGCCATGAATTTGAAAAAGAACAAGAAAGTGATATATAGGGAGGTTTGGGGGAGGAAATGGAAGGGAGAAAAGTATGTAATGATATTATAATCCACAAAATGGATGAAAACACTTACAATCTCAACAGATGGTAAGAAAACATGACTTTGGCTATGGAATTCTATTTGTAGTAAATATTTGTTGGATAACATATCATAGTTGAGATGCATTAGTGAATGAAATAGGCAATAGTTTTTGTTTTCATGAAACTTCTTTTGTGAGGATAAAACAATAAGGAATAAATATAAAGGCAATAAAATACAATGCATAAGACACAAGGTAAAAATAACCACTTATTGGGCAAAAATGCAAAACTTATTAAAGGGAAATATGTGCCTGTGATGAGAGTCAGAACGGGGAAGAATGCATTGAAATTTTAAGAATGGTAAGAGTGGGTCTCCGTGTGAAAGTGACATTTAAGAGAAGGCACAAAGAAAGTGAAGGGCTTTATTAGCCTTGGGGTGTTGGGGGAAGAATTCCATGCAGACAATGGGCAGCAAGACAACAACTCCTCATACCCTGGAATGGAAGTGGCTAGAGGGAAGCTAGAAGGGGAGAGTATGGATGAAAGGCAGCGAGGGAAGGGAGGAGCACAGAGGTTGGACTTATAGAGTATGTAAGGGATTTATATTGACTGACAGTGAGTGAGTGGGAGGGCTGCTCAAAGGACATGGAACAGATGAGATGCTTGTTCTGCTTTGTTGGTGATTACAGAGAGCATAGGTTGTGGGAACTGGAGAGGAATGGGCAAAAGTGAGCAGTCTGGAGGGCATCGTGGAAATCTAGGCTAGAGACTGGTAGTTTGGACCATGCAGGCAACTGCCAAGGTATTGTGGGATATTTATACATTGTGTGAAGATATAGTGCTGTGATTGGTTTAATGAAGAGCTGAACAGCCAATTACTAAGCAGGAGGTATAGGTGATGGGGAATGTACTTCTTTGTATGTTTATCTTATTGATTATTGAATAAAATACTGTTTGGCCAATGAGACAGCAAGTTAGACAGGACTAGGCGTCAAAGAGGATTCTGGGAAATGTAGTAGAGAAGTGGTGATCCAGGCTGGAAGTGACATAGCAAGGAGACTCCTATTTAGCAAGGAGAAACAGGGAGGATCCTTTTTTGCCCCTCTGCTCTTCCTCCAGCTGCAGGATGTGATCCACCGGCAAGGAGGGACACCAATAAGGTGTCCAATAAGATAAGTCTTATAAAATATATAGATTTATAATAATTGAGACTGAGCTAACAGATGAGAATCCTAGTCATTGGCCAAGCAGCATTTTACCTAATACAAGTTTCTGTGTATTCATTTGGGCCCTAACTCAGGTCGGCGGCTGGCGTAAAACGCACACATAATGGTGGGGCTTGGCGGCTTTTGGCGGAAAGATTTATGGTAACATATAGGTGCAATTTCTGGGGAGAGAAAGGAAGAGGAGGATGAACCAAGGAGCAGGAGATGTCAGGAGACATGGGAGGAAACAGGATATGCAAGATGTGTGATAGAATGTAGATTAATATAAATGGGTTAATTTAAGTTACAAGAACTACATAGGAAACAAGACTAAGGTATAGGCCAAACTTTTATAATTAATAAGAAGTCTCTATATCATTATTTGGGAGCTAGCTGATAAGACAGAAAATGACTCATTAATATGGTACCCAATGTGGGGCTTAGAAAAGTTCTGGACAAGAAGCCAGATGTAGACTCCTAGTCCTGCAGTCTCTTAGACAGGTTAGCACTTGTTGGTGTACAGCTCTTGGTTGCTGCCTGTGGGCTGCAGCCAGCCACAAGCACCATGTGCTAAGCTGAGCCACACAGTGGCTGACATGACAGTTTAAGATTTGTCTCACAGAGTCAGAGAACACTGCAGACATTTAGTAAAGCCAGGCCCAGACACAGAAAACTAAAACTGTAAAGTATGTTTAAAAATGTGCTTAGGGGCTGAAGAAAGAAAAGAAAAATGGGTATAGACAGTCATCAATATTTTAAAAGTAATAAAGTCTTTTTTTTTTTTTTTTTTTTTAACGATCACCAGCTGCCCAGGTATCAAAAAATTATGCTTCCGAAATCTCTTGATGTCGATTCCGCACGTAGAGCAATCTGGTTGCCCTACGTGTGCCACTCACGACAGAAGCCCTTTTTTTAAGAGAGAGTAAAGTAACATAAAAAACTAAGCCATGTAAAGATGAGAAATACACAGAGTGCCTGGATTCTTTATGGAGTTTTATTGACTTTAAATTTTCAATACTAATATGCAAAAAAATGACTTCTGAGGGATTATGGAAACTGCTGAATTAAACCAATGTATATATTTTAAGAATTTCTTAACTTCAAAATCAAAGTCAGAAAATACATTGCATTGGGAGAGAGGTTATGCCACAGGAAACAAAATATATAGTACTCTTCAAAATTAATAAAGATCTGATTTGATCATGGAGATCTCCTGAGGATCTTGGCTACAGACATGAATTAAAAAGCCAAGTGACACTACTGGACAGGTTTTATATATATGCTGATTCTCAGACATGGGTAGAGCTCTGAGACTGGATGAGACATGATATATCTTGTTGGCTATAAAGTACTCATGACTTATTATTACTTGCCATCTTTTCATATGGCATGGGTGGAGATTTATATTAGTTTGGTTATAGAGTCCAAATGGACTATAAAATTGACAGATGCCTTTTCCCTGCTCAAACTGAAACAGAAAATCATCTTTAGCTGACTTGGGCACCCTGCACATTCTATATTTATATTAATGTAGATAAATATGTTACCTTTAAAATTTTGTGTGTTTTCATATAAAAAAGACAAGTCACCATTGAAGACAAGTAGACCAGGTGATCTAGCCTCTCAGAATGTCTCTGTTGCAATTTACTCAAAATTTTGCATACAGAAAGTACAACTTCAAAGCTGCTGGTTGAGATGGCCCAGCCTCACATCTTCCTTCAGCCAGGATTTCAGATAAGCCCTGCCCTTTCCCATTATACTGACTCTGGATAACAAATGATACAGTTAGGTCTTCCAGGACTTGACCATTATCCCAATTTTCTCAGGGCTCTCTAAAAATGCTGTCACCCCCAGACAATCTGGAGAACACAGCATCCGAATTGTCAAGAGATAGGGTAGGGGTTTTGGTCATTTGGTGTATTATGGGTGTTAATCATCATGGGGGGGGTAGTTACAAGCTGTTGTTGGTCATGTTCAGGTGAAAAGGAGATTAGATTCAGGGATCTCTTTCTGAAGGGAAAAGGGGGAGATACAGCATGGAAATGATGGGATGAAAGAGTGGATTGTTGAGTTTACCCTTGAACAACCACTAGTCTTAAATGTTTTATATTGGTATGGATTTTTGTATATTGATACAAATTTAAGGTTGTTCTTGTTATACTGTGTATATGTACCTACTCTTTTTAAAGATACTGTACCAATGCAAATCATTTAAAAATGTAATGTATAATTAAGAAATACAGGTTAGTAGCTAGTCATCTCTAATAATCAAAATTGTAGGTATGTTTTAAAGGTCAAAGAGATATATTTTAGATTAATAGGTGGTATTAAAATATTTCAGAGATCTACAGAATATGACATTTAAGTTATTTCAATAACCTAAGCTTTTCATGACAGTGAGACACTTTTGCTCCTGGCAGCACCAATGTACTTCATAAAAGGATTATGGGAATCCAAAAACCTCCATATGGGTTTACTGTTTTATAGCAAAAGTTATCCCCTGGGCAAGAAACTGCCCTTTCCTCAACTGCTGTCATTATGCTCTCCAAATTGAATGAGCAGGACATACAAAATGTCATTGCTGAAATTTGCCAAGACAAGGCGGGACAGTCCTTCAAAATTCCTGCTTCACAGAAAAGTCTGTCAGATACTCTAGACTTGGAGACTGCGTATGGATGCCCCAGTGCTGCATAGGAACCTTGGATTACTTTCCAGGATGTCAGATGTCTCTGTCTTTTCTATAGTTTTGGAAGTTGTTTACTCTGTGCTACCTGTATACTCAGGTAATATTATGTCCTTTTAAGTCTCTGATGAAGTTGAAGATGAGATAGTTATAGTTACAATTTACCTTGTTACCAAATTCAGAAAAGAAACTTAGAAAATAAGTATTAAGTATATAAGATTGAGAGACCTTCCAGGTGGTGGTGGCCCATACCTTTAATCCCAGCACTCAGGAGGCAGAGGCAGGCGGATCTCTGTGAGTTCGAGGCCAGGCTGGTCTACAAGAGGTAGTTCCAGGACAGCCTCCAAAGCCACAGAGAAACCCTGTCTCAGAAAACTAAAAAAAATAATAATAATAAAAATAAAAAGATTGAGAGACCTAAAAGCTTAAAATGTTTATGTAAGAAAATGTTTTGAGGTCTAAGAAGATAGTTTTGGGTTGGTAATACAAGTTAGGATAGAAAGTAAATCAGGTACAAAATTTTTGACTCACCAAAATAGGATAGATAATGGAATGTTTTCTCTGAATTTGCCAAATACAGATAGAGTGGATATTGTAAATGTAATTCTTATCTGATTATTGTTCTTCCTGTATATAGTTTTTACTATGCTAGAGTTAAAACTTTTCCCTTTTATTTAGACAAAGGGGGGAAATATTGTGGGATATTTGTTTAGTGTGTGAAAATAAATTATTATTATTTGTTTATTAAAGAGCTGAATGGCCAATAGCTAAGAGGTATAGGTAGAATTTCAAGGGAGAGAAAAGAAGAGGAGGAGAAATTGAGGGACAGGAGACATCAGGACACATGCAAAGGAAACAGGCTGTGCAAGATGGGAGAGAGGTAATGCCATATGATAGAATGTAGATTAATATAAATGGTGTAATTAAAGTTTTAAGAGCTAGTTAGCAACAAGTCTAAGCTGTAGGCTGAGCTTTCATAATTAATAAAAAAATCTCTGTGTCATTATTTGGGAACTGGCTGGAAGGACATAAAAAGATTCATAGTGATAAGATAATAGGTGAATTTGGAAGATGAAGCCCATAATATATTTTGGATGCCTGGACAGAAGGTGTAAGGTAAAGGACTTGAAAAATGCAGAGATGACAGATGGAGCAGACAGAGGAGAGTTAAGAATGTTCTAGGTGGTGGAACTAACCTGTTCACAAGGTTAGTTGAAGGCATGGCATGTTTGGGAAACTGCAATCTTCATACAAAGAAAAGAACTGTAGATTTGTCTAGAGAGGTGGGCAGTGATTATGTCCCAGGCCAGGAGAATTTGCTATTCAGTAGACAAACACATACTTCTACTATATAGCAAATGAATGTCCAAACTGATTCAACTTCCTAAGACTTACACTATACAATACTGGGACTACCTAGTTGGAGCACATCAAACACCAGAGATTATATGGCCAAAGTCTTATAGCAGTCTAGTTATTATAGAATTGATAGCCCCTTTCCCTTTACAGGATCTTGGATGTGCTTGGTAGAAGCACATGGCAGGGAGAGGTCTTTTCACCCCAATTGGACAGATGAGGGAGTGTACCAGCTTAGTGTTGCCTGCAACGCTTATCCCACTGAGTCAGTGTGCATATGAGAAAACCAAATATTATTTCAGAAAAAACATAAAATGCATCTGATTTGCAACTGTTAACAAAATAAGAATTTCCTGGCAATTTTCAATCAAGGCAGTACCATTAGGCAAACGCTTATAATTTTTATCTGTTTCTGAGCTTTAGAATATATATATATATATATATATATATATATATATGCATATGTGTGTGTGTGTCATATATATGTATATGGCTAGGGAGATAATTTAGTCAGTAAAATACTTGCAATGTAGCATGAGTATGTGGTTTTGGACCTAACACACACACAATAACCAGGTGTGGTAGTGGTGTATATCTGTAACCCCAGTGCTGAGAAGGCAGAGACATTTAGGTCCACAAAGCTCATGGCTAACCAGATGACCTGAAATGATGATCTCCAAACTCAATGAGAGAGTTTGTCTCAAAAAATAAGGTGGAGAACAATTGGGGAAGACATATGACATCAATACACAGGCATGCACATACACAGTGATAAGTTAGAAGCAACTCAACTTACCAGCTCAATTGCACACCTCCCACTACCTGTGTATACACCACACACAAAAATATACATATACTTACAACAAATACACACATGCACACATACACATGAGTGTACATACACACATATACACACCACACATGTACACACACACCCCCACACAGCTTGCCATAAACTCAATGTGACTTTCTATAATTTATGTTCTATTCTACATAGATTCCTTTCAGTGAAGTACTAGTCAATATAATCAATGTTTTATTTTAAGAAATATCCTTTCAGGTTTTTTTTTTTAATCTTGGTATCTTCATAATGTACTTTTGGCTTGAAATTCTTATTTCCATGAATGTTTGCTTTGTGGCTAGTCTAAATTACCAGTGTTTTCTGTAATTTAAATCTGTTTTTCACTCTCCTACTCTCGTCATAAATGGAGAGTGATGGGTAATGTCTGACTAATTGAGAAGAGCAGAATGGCACTTTGTGGTTAGGTCTGCACAGGCAAAGAGAATTGTAGAATCGAAGCCGGTAATTGAAAAAGGCAGAGAAAAAGATTTGCTTGTTTTATTTATCTAAATTATGGCCTTATTTCTTTACTTTCCTTGACTTTTTATGATCCAAGGAGTCAGATGAAGGAAAATGTGTGGTTAGCTTGAAAAGAATCTATGAAATCTGAGTTTCATTTGTTTTGGTTGTTAATGAATGAACCTGTTGTATATATTCTCAAGGTGAGGGGCAAATAGAATAGCAATGATAAACAATATATGTGGAGAACATAGAGAATGGAGAATATAATGCTTATCTCACAGGTGGTCTGCCAGGGGTGGAGTGTGTACTTAGATAATTGTCTTTAGGAATTATGTCTTTATGGAGAGTTCATATGTATATTTGAAGAGAAGATACCTTTTGGTACTGACTTTCAGATCTTTCCCTATTTCTTTGGAGATGTCAGTAGAAACCGATAACACATTCTGAGATGAATGGTAATTTATTAGTAACCTGTGTTTTCTGTTGTTTGTTTCCATATGAATTGACACACTGTGAAGTTGAAGTACTTAATCTTTAGTACTTTGGTAATCATTCAAATGGTAAGAGGTTGTACTCATCACATAGATAAAAAGTATGCTGACTTTACTTCCATTTCTTTTGTCCTTGTGTGAGAATGGAGAGCA